TTTATTAAATAAAGTAATCTAAAAATAAATTTAATTTATAAATTAATTAAAAATATTATAAATCAAGTAAAAATTTATTTTTAACTTACAGGTTTTTCTCTAAACAATTTTTCTAACATTGTAACATCAATTTCATCACAATTTAATTTATAATGAAAATGTTTTTGTCCTGGAGACCAAGCTGAGCATCCAATAAAATATAATGGAATATTATTATCTGATTTCTTTCCATACTGACAAACTTGAGCTTTGCCTACACATGTTTCAAAATTATATGGACATTGAATATTTGCAAATGCCATATATTTTCTATAATAAATTAAAGTAAAAAATTAATTAAATTTAACTAAAAATTTAAAAAGTTAATATTATATAATTTCTTACGCATGTGTTTTAGCTTCTTTTGAAGTTTGTAAATCAGTAGGTTGATTTAATTTATAAAAATCAATACTTTCATCTACTTCGGTATGTTGTATTTCTTTTAATTCACTTGAAACAAATTCACAAACTTTAGCTCCAGTACAAATTCGAACTGATTTGTTTACTTTACATCCTAAAAATTCACATTCTATAATTTTTTTACCACCACCATCACCCATATTATATTGAATCTATATAAAATTAAAATTTAATTAATTATTTAATTATAAAAATATTATATTAATAAATTTAAATTTAAACTTACATCTGAAAATGCAGTATTATGATCATTCCATCCGAAAATATTATAAATAATTGCTGTGCCCTCTAAGAATGTTGGTGGATATTCAATAGGTATTGGAGAATATCGAATCTCATTTATACAAAGTTTCTTTGTAAAAAAATTATAAGTTTTGGTAATAGTATCTGATTCGTCAGCTGTAGTTTGCATCTAAATATAATTATAATTTTAATTAATTTACTTTCGTTACAATATTATTTTTTATTATAAATTAATATTAATATAATTATATTTAGCTTACTAAACTATCAATATCTATTTCAGGAATTTCAAGATCTGACGACGATTCATTTGAAGCAGCTGTTAAATCAATAAAATTATTGCATAGCGATGTGCTTGAAAAACATGATTCTGATTTTATTAATGGTGCTGTTAAAAAACCTAAAGATTCTGGTATTGCAGAAATAATTGAGGATTCAGATAACGAAGATTCAAATCTATCTAACGACATTTTAGAAAAATAAAGATAACAAATTAAAAAGAAATAATTAAATAACAAAATATATTTATTTAATCAATATTTAATCAATTTAATTGATAAACCCGATTATTAATAAGCAATTTAACGAAAGTTATTTTGATTATATTGTTAAATATTGATATAGAATGTGAAAGTTAAATTATTATATTTCGAACCAAAATAAATAATAGTTTTTATTATTTTATTAATAATAAATAATATTACATTAAATTATTACTATAAAGTAACAGTTTTATTTATTTTTAATATTAAGATAAATACTTAAGTGATGGCAAAAAAAGAGTCACAACCATGCCAACATTTCCGAACCCCTTCGGCAATTTTGCATGAATTGCATAAATTTTGTATGTGGCTTCCGAAGGGTTCAAAAATGTCATCGATCACATGGTCGCGACTTTTTTTGCCACCACCACTACCTGAATACTTAGC